ATGCGTTGCAGGAGACGGGCCGACCCATGACCCATCGGCATTCCGCGTCCACTGTCTTGAAGTTTAATGAAGGGCAGTTGGCTGCAAAATAGAGAAAGAGGGAAATATCAGAGATGTGGCATCCATTTGGTAGAGCAATTTTTGATGCAGTGCAAATTACGTCGTAAGTAAAACAGGCTGTTAATTTGCCGAGAAGTGGTTGACTCGCCAGAGCCGCAAGTACCCAGTATTACATTGGTTGTGCTGACAATAAGGTTGGTCGCAGTCTCTTAAAAAGGGGTTGACCTATATCGTACCGGGTGTCCAGGCTAAGACATGCCAGTACGTTCGGTTGCCTACGGACTGGCTACAGGGGCTGCGGGACGGGTGGCGGGGGAGTGCGTTTGCGAGCTGCCACTTTCCCGCCACCCGTCCCGCGCCTGCAGCACCTGCAGCCAGTCCTAGGCAAACCAACGTTCTCGCATGTCTTAGCCTGGACACCCGGTACGACGTTTCACTGAGGACGGTTTTCCGTGGGTGCGTAATGTTCAATCTCATTTGAACTATTTAAATCGACATCAGCTAGAGCATTAGAATTGCTGCATCAAAAGTGTCAAATTTCCCCCTAAATCTCCCACCCAATTTGAGTGCTTACTATGAGCGAGTCCCAGGCTTACTTAAAGCAGATATCTACGCGCCGAGTTACACGGCAAATTATGGTTTTATGTCTCTAGATTGGGTCGAAGTTCATGAACTTCGGTTGAAGTTCTGCGAAGGTCATCGAAGTTCTCGAAGTTCAGCAGAGTTCACTGAAGTTCGCCGTAATTTGCAGAAGTTCAAGGAAACGTACACCGAAGTTCAAGCCTATTTCCCCTTGGTTGTGCCGTGCAGTGGTGGCTGATAAATTATGCTTTTATGTCTCTAGATCGGGTCGAAGTTCATGAACTTCGGTTGAAGTTCTGCGAAGGTCATCGAAGTTCTCGAAGTTCAGCAGAGTTCACTGAAGTTCGCCGTAGTTTCCAGAAGTTCAAGGAAACGTACACCGAAGTTCAAGCCTATTTCCCCTTGGTTCTGCAGTGGTGGCTGATAAACTTCGAAGCCTCAGCCTTAAAACCCGTGGAACGACTGATGACATTGTTTGACATTCTTGGCGGGTACTATTAAAGCTCTAAAAATACGTCATACTAGACCTAAGTGGTGACTCCCGCAAAATGGAAAGAAAGAAAGGAAAGAAAATGCATGTTTTTTGATAATCACCAATGCGTAGTATACACTGCTTATACTATACTGCTTATGGCATGCACGACACGAACGTTCAAAAACATTCCGAGCTAATTTGCGGAAGTGCCCTTACCTGGCACACAGGTGAACGGAAGTGGCGACCAGTTCCCGTCTTCACGGCACAT